AAGATATTTATGTTATTAAATCATAACAAGGAGTATAATCCTTATATAAAATTAGGCAAACATTGCCAAATCTAACAAAACTTAGTAAAAAAAAAAACAAAATAAAGCAAATCCATAAATTGTTCGAGTAATTCAAATGTACGCACACTTATATACCCACATATGAATAAAAATATTCTTACTTGTCTAAGTTTTCTAATAACGACTGGCATAAAACCGACAAATACCCAGCCTCCACTGCGTTATGAGACACATCTAAAACAAACAAGTAGACAGCAGGCTGCGGAGGACGAAGCTGCAAGACACAAAGACATCATTTAGTTAGTGGACACACTTCCTTTTTCCTATCACTATGATTACTCTTTTTTTAAATATTTATTTATTATGGATACAATATTCTGTTTGCATATATGCCTGCAGGCTAGAAGAGGACACCAGACCTCATTACAGATGGCTGTGAGCCATCATGTGGTTGCTGGGAATCGAATTCGAGTCCTTTGGAAGGGCACGCAATGCTCTTAACCACTGAGCCATCTCTCCAGCCCCCTTAAATGAATCTTTAAAAAAAAAAAAAAAAAAAAAAAGGTTCAAGCATGGTGGTGGTGGAAGAACACACCTTTAATCCAAACACTTAGGAAGCAGAGGCATGTGAATCTCTATGAATTTGAGGCCAGCCTGGTCAACAGAGTGAGTTTCAGGACAGCCAAGACTACACAGAGAAACCCTATCTCGGGAAAAAAAAAAATTAAAAAAAAAAAAAAAACACATTCAACAGATAATAACCTTTAAACAGGCTGAGCAGCAGACTTCATAAAATACTCTTCCACAGTCTTGGTGTGTAATGCAGTATTTATTCTCTATTACTCTAAGCTTTTCCATTCATCGTTTCAAAAAGAGCCATGAGAAAAAGAAAAAAAAAAAGAGCCATGAATAAGTTAAACCAATTGAAAGTATATATATATATTTTTTTTCTGGGATGTAGCTGTTTTGGACATTTAGTTAGAAAGGCCATCGATCTTATAGGAAAAAAACTGGAAAACAAACTTGTATTTGTCAACCTGATAACTTACCTTAAAATGTTGTTGGCTTTTCTAGCAACAACCTTTACAGCCCAATCTAGTGGAAACTAGTTGTCCCAATATACGAATGGATCCAAAACTATGCCCTGCTGACCCAGACTGGATAGCGTTCATTCACAGCAACGATATCTGGATCTCGAACCTTGTAACCAGGGAAGAACGGAGGATCACCTATGTGCACAATGGTGAGTCAGAGCTTTGCAGCCTGGATTTGCTGATTTGTGTGTGGAAAGCTGGTTTTGATTTTACTTCCATTGGAAATTAATGCAAACCAGGTGATTTTTATTTTTTAAGTTCAGATGTTTAAAAATTGGAAGGTATGGAGAAGGACAGAGAATACATGGTCTGCACCCCTTAGATAATGCCACTCTCTTCTCAGCACTTTTTAAGTACCGCAGTGCATCTCTTGTTCTTCTAGCCTGCCCCCTTTTTCATTAAGTGAAATTTTAATTAAGAAAATTGGACTTGTTTGGCAGATACAGACAGAAAAACCAGTTCCACATTATTAGATATTGCCTGAAAAACAGTCTCCCCATTTTGGAGAGCCTATTTAGCTACTGTTTTATAGTGAAAAAAAAATGGAATTGGGAAGAACATGTGCGTTGTGGAAATATTTAAGTAGGCTTTATTGAGTGACAAACGTAGTCTGAGGCATTAGGAATACAAGTTCAATGATGTCTCAAAAAACAACAGCCACACATAGTGATGCCTCTAATTCCAGCACCTGGGAAGCAGAAATAGGCGGATCTCTGAGTTTGAGGCCAGTCTGGTCTATAAAGGGAGCTCCAGGACAGCTAGAACTACACAGAGTTTTGAAACCCTGTCTCAAAAACAACAAAACTAAAAAGTTTCAAAAGGTAGAAGTTGAATTTGTCATAGATTGATTGCTGGACTGAGTTCACAAAGAAGAAGTGATATATGAGAATGAAGGCCTTCCTGTAGCTTCCCAGCATTTTCTCCATCCTCACCGTCTCTGCATTGCTGGGTCATTTGCTATACTTCTCATTCATATATTATGTGCAGTTAGGCCCGTGGTAGCTGTGTTTGTAATGGACACATACATTTTGTGATATTATTATTATTGGTCATTCCCTAAGCAATGCAGTGAAATAACTGATTACGTTGTCTATAGTGATCTTATTAAAGTCTGCATGAGGATGCACTTGGGTTCTGTGGAAACACTATAGTGTTTTATAGAAAAAGACTTAAGCATTTGCAACTTGTAGTATTTGAACAGGATCTTAAGGGAACCAACCTTTAAGTGGTTCTAAAGGAGAACTGTGGCAAGGGTACAGATTGAATAAGGTGATGCTGACCATCAAGCAACTAAATAAACAATCAGCAATACAGAGTAGGTCAAATGAGGACTACTGTAGAGCACCACGAGAAGCAGTATTTGGGGAAGACTTTCCAGAGATCATTGTAACTGACCTTAAGTGATGTCTGTATGTTAGCAAAGTATTCCAGAAAGCGAACTGTGTGAGAAAAGTCTTATTCTGAAAGGTGCTGTGGCCTTTGTGAGGAGCTGGGAGCACACAGTTGTCCAGTACTGGTGGGGCTCAATGGAGGAGTCTTTAGCAGATGATCCAGGCTGTTCTGGTTGTACTGTCATAAAGGGTTTGGGTGCTACAGGCCATGACACCAGAGCTTGGCAGCTGTCATCACTGAAATCACAAGTCTTGAAAATTGAAGCCCTTTCTCATCCTGTCAACAAACACTGATCACTATACACCACTTACTGTATTTGAGACTGAGACTAAAACTCTCAAAAAAAACTGTCAGAAAATAAGGCATTTTAAAGTCTTCTTTTTTTTTTTTTCTTTTAATTCAGGCTTTCTCTTTATTAGCCCTGGTTGTCTCAGACAGAACTCACTACATAGACCAGGCTGACCTTGAACTCTAGAGATCTGTCTGCTTCTGCCTTCCAAGTTTGCTATTGTTAAAGCTGTGCACCATATGCCTGGCTTTCTTTTGTAAAATTGTTTTCCTCAGGAAATAGAAAAAGACAAGATCTCCTGAGAAAATTGAAAGCATGGGAGTCTTGGGAGAGGGTTGAAGGGGTGGGTGGGGGGAAGCAGGGAGGGGATCAGAGAAAAATGTAGAGCTCAATAAAAGTCAATAAAAAATTTAAAAAAACCTACAAACCAAAAAAAGAAAAAAACAAAAACCTGTTTTCCTCAGAGAATATGTGAAGATTGGTAGAATTTAAAGTAGAAAGTACTGGAATTCTGGAGGATATTATAGTTTTTACTTTTTTCTTTACTATTCATGTAGATATGTGGTATATTTGTTATTTCTATTATTAGTGTAGTGGTTAAGAGAATATAGAATGAAACAGAACCAGGCCCTCTGAGTTAATTCTGACCTCATCAAATTAATTAATATATCTCTTGGTTTCTACATATGTAAAAATGTGAATCAGCTGAGTATAATCACAGGATTTCCAGGGGGCCTTAACAAGTTAATTTTTGTGCAGTGTTTAGAATTATGACTGAAACATAGTAAAGGCCGAGAATTGTCTGCTTAGATAGAAAGAGATGGAGGGAGGGAACATGGTCAACAGTGTGCTAATCACAGTAGGGTGGGATGAAAGCCCATCTGAGAAAATGAATTTGGTCTGTCAGGTGCATATGTGTTTATTCTCTGCTCAATATGACAGAGGAATTTAAAAGTACTGGTTCCTGCCCTCAGTTCCCCTCTACTGGGAAGACAGAGTGATACCAGTTATCCAGTTAGTAAGTAACTTGTAATAAGTAGCAGAAATACAAACAACAGTGGTACCTGTCCTCACATTTAAAGAAGAACAGAATAGATAGAAAGTTGGAGTGTAGTTTAAAGCAATTGAAGGATGCTAGGAACCCATCATTGATCCTGGCTCTTTTACTAATTCCTTGTTTCCGAAAGCTCTGAACACATTGTTGTCATTATCTTGGGTCTGAAACTCATTTGGTAGTAGAATCTGACCTGAACTGTCTTGAGAGTATTTATAACATTTGCCCTGCCTGCTCAGCGTGCTTTCCCTTTAGTTTGCTGCTGGAATGTTGGGGTATTAGATTACAGCTTATCTGTGTGCTGCTGCTGTTGTTACACAACACATCATAGGTGTGCACTGTAGCAAGAGTCTCTGAATTCCAAATACCTGACTCGGGTTTTGAATAAGGGAGTATTGGTTCTTGTTGTACACTTATTTCACATAATGTAGAATACAGATGATCAAAAATGGCAAATTAAAGCCAGGCGTAATAGCACATTCCTTTAATTGCAGCACTTGGGAGGCAGAGACAGGCAGATCAAGCCAGCCTGATTTACAGAGTGAGTTCAGGGGCAACCAGGCCTACAAAGAGAAACCCAGTCCAGAAAATAAATAAATAAGTAGAAAGAAAGAAAGAAAGAAAGAAAGAAAGGAAGGAAGGAAGGAAGGAAGGAAGGAAGGAAGGAAGGAAGAAAGAAGAAAGAAAACAAAATTAACTCTTACCTGTGCTGTGCATGGTAGCATATGCCTATAATCCAAGCACATAGGAGGCTAAAGTAGGATTACATGCAGTTCAAGACTAGCCTGGGCAGCATAGCAAGACCCTGTCTTTAAAAACAGAAAATAAAATCATAATAATATATCACTGCCCACCAATTAAACAAACAAAAGTGAGAAGATTGAGAACACCAACTGTTGGTAAGAGTGTAGAATAATAAAAATGCATCCCCACACAGTTAAGTACACTCCACTAACTAGCCATTCCACTCCAAGATACTTGCTCAAAAAAAATGAAAACACATGTCCATGGAAATTACTGTGCAAGAATAAATATTCACATCATCTTTATTCACAGTCACCAAAAGCAGTCCACACGTCAGCAGAAGAATGGATGAGAGAGCCACAACATCACCCACACCTTTAATCCCAGCACTCAGGAGGCAGAGGCACCCAGTCTCTAAGATGAAGGCTAGCTTGGTCTACATAGTAAGTCCTAGGGCCAGCCATGGCCTATCACATAGAAAGACCCTGTCTGTCTTAGTTACTCTTCTGTAGCTGTGATGAAATGCCATGACCAAGGTAGCTTAGGAAAGGAAGCATTTAATTGGGAACTTGCTTATAGTTACAGAGCGTTAGTCCATGTTTAGTATGACAGGAAGTGTGGGGGCAAGCAGGCAGAGAGAGACTGGGCCTGGCTCACCCCCAGTGACATACTCCTCCAATAAGACCACACCTCCTAATGCTTCCAAAACATTCCATTAACTGGGGACCAAGCATTCAAGCATATGAGACTATGGGGACCATTCTTATTCAATCCACCCCACTGTCTTAAAAAAAAAAAAAGGCCGGGCTGGAGAGATGGCTCAGTGGTTAAGAGCATTGCCTGCTCTTCCAAAGGTCCTGAGTTCAATTCCTGGCAACTACATGGTGGCTCACAACCATCTGTAATGAGGTCTGGTGCCCTCTTCTGGTCTGCAGACATACACACAGACAGAATATTGTATACATAACAAATATTTTTTTTAAAAAAGGCCATTGTATCAATGGATTATTACTTAACAATAACTTGGATATTACTTAACAAACAGGAACTAAGTACTGACAAATGTCAAAACACTGATGATTTTTAAAAACAAGTCACATTCAAATTATACTGTAAACATTTGCCATGATACCAATTTTTACATAATGATGGCTTTGTGATTTGTTTGTTTAGGTAGTTATTGGTACTGAGGGTACTAGAGCCAAGCAAATGCTGACGTGTCATAATGGAGTGAATCAATTTACCCAAGGTCATACAATAGGTAAATGGCAAGGCTCAGACTTCAGTCTGTCTCCACAGTTGACCACTATAATCAGTTACTTTTTTCTTTTTCTTTTTCTTTTTTTGGTTTTTTTGTTTGTTTGTTTGTTTTTTGATTTTTTAGTTTTGGTTTTTCAAGGCAGGGTCTCTCTGTGTAATAGCTCTGGCTATCTTGGAACTTGATTCATAGACCAGGCTAGCCTCTAACTCACAGAGGTCTGCCTGCCTCCACCTTCTGAGTGCTGGGATTAAAGGCAAGCACTACCACTGCCTGGCCAGCTTTCTCTCTTTAGAAGTGATGGAATCATTTTGCTTTGTCCTATTGTAAAAGAAAAAAAAGTTTGGAGGATAATTTTGCCTGTTTTGTTTGTCCAGAGCTAGCCAACATGGAAGAGGATCCCAGATCAGCTGGAGTTGCTACCTTTGTTCTTCAAGAAGAATTTGATAGATATTCTGGCTACTGGTGGTGTCCACAAGCTCAAAGAAGTAAGCAAGTTTAAAGTAGTTTGTTACAGGTCACTCTAAGGATTAAAGGTTTTGACTGTCGATTGGCTGAGTGTATAGAGCATAAAGCTGGGACAATACATGAAAAAGTAATGAAGATTAGACCTTACTAGTAACTATTTAGAAAATAGAGGCCTTATCCCCCTCATGAACTCTAGTAGAGAGTTATACTCTGCCTTAGTACTTCAGGTGCTGCTTGCCAATTTTTCAGCTAGAAAGCTGGTCTGTAAGGTCAAGCAGCATTATGACAGGATCTACACTAATAACTTGCTGTTAAACACATGTGATTGAAGCTGGGCAGTGGTGGCGCATGCCTTTAATCCTAGCACTTGGGAGGCAGCAGAGGCAGGCAGATCTCTGTTCAAGGCCAGCCTGGTCTACCAGAGCTAGCTCCAGGACAGCTAGGGCTGTTATATAGAGAAGCCCTGTCTTGAAAAACCAAAAAATAAAGGCAGGGAGAGGATTGAGTAGCATTTATGTGAGCAGATGAGAGTATGTGTGAATGAGTATGAGGGGCTTAAAACAGTGTCCTCCCACTGCCTAACCACAGTCCAGTGGAAATTCACTTACAGTCATATGTGGCCTAATATAAAGTGGACTTAGGTTATAGACAAAATTGGAAACCTACATGTATATAAGTGTGCCATGTGTGTGCTGTGCCTGCAATGACCAGAAGGTATCTGATCCTAGGAAGTGGAGTCAGTTGGTTGTGAACTGCTACATGAGTGCTGGGGACCCAGCTGAGTCCTCTGGAAGAGCAGCAGGTGTTCTTAAGTGCTGGTTAGGACTCATTAATAAATCTTATGGCATCACTATTGGTTTACAGCTAGCAAGCTGAACATTTCTTTTGTGTTTTCAGGATATAGTCACTCTGTGTAATCCTGGCTTTCCTGGAACTTGCTCTGTAGACGAGGCTGGCCTTGAATTTACAGAGATCCGACGGCCTCTGCCTTCCAAGTGCTGGGATCAAAAACGCGGGCCACCACCGCCCACCTGGCACCTGAACATTTCTTTAGAGGACAATGAAAAATATGTATTTTAATCCATGTCTTAGATTTGGACTTTTATTTTATAATGCAGACATTTCCCATAATTATACAACTAACTCAGCATTTTATAGGAAATACTAGGTTTTATCATGCCAAAATTCTTCAAAATGTTTTCCGTTTGTATAGGTGTATGTATGTGTGTGTGTACACACACACACACACACACACACACACATCTTTTTTTCCCCTCCCAAAAGGGTAAACTTTAAGCCCTAGTAAAAGGGACTTGGAAGTCATCCTGCAGTTGTAAAGATAAGAAAATTTTCATGTGTAAAACATAGCACAGGGTCCAGCAAGTTGGCTCAGCAGGTAAAGGCACTTGCCACTGCCCAGTAACCTGATTTTGTTCCATGGGACCCACATGGTATAAGGAGGGAACTGACTCTCAAAACTTGTCCTCTGGGGACTGGAGAGATGCCTCAGCAATTAAGAGCACTGACTGCTCTTCCAGAGGACCCGGGTTCAATTCCCATTACCCACACAGCAGCCAACAACTGTCTATAACTGCAAGATCTGACACCCTCACACAGACAAACATGCAGGCAAATATACCAATGCACATGAAATATAAATAAATGTTAAAAAAAAAAAAAGAAGAAAATAAACTTGTCCTCTGACTTCCACATGCATCCCTCCTTAAGGAATTATTTAATTAAATTTATAACAATTTTTAGAAGATGCTAAAGAATTTAGTTGTGTTGAATAATTTATGTCACATCTTGTCCTGTATAACTGTGGAAAAAATGTATTTTAAAATGAAATGTCCAAATCTCAGATATGATTTTTAAATAAATATTTTTCATGTTCCATTAATGAAATATTCAGTCTTAAAAAACTAAAAAAAGAAAAAAGAAGTTATCAGACTTTTAGCTGTAAATCACTAATAAGACTTACATACACACACACATACACATACGAGTGAATAAATAAATATAGTTAAAATTTTTTTGTTTTGAGACAAAAATCATAGCCTAGGAGTACAGCTCAGTGGTGAAGTACTAGCCTATCATGTTCAAGGACCTGAATTCAACCTCTAGCACCACTAATTCATAATGGTGCCCTATCTTATGCATGAATTATTTACTTCAGTTCAAAACCTAGTTTTAGAGGGAATAGTGAATGATGAGTATTCTGTAATAATTATTCTAAATTTCCAATACCTAAATTCCTTTTAAGCTCCTAGTGGTGGTAAAATTCTTAGAATTCTCTATGAAGAAAACGATGAATCCGAGGTGGAAATTATTCATGTTACATCTCCCATGTTGGAAACAAGAAGGGCAGATTCATTCCGTTATCCTAAAACAGGTACTGCATTCCACTGTTGTTATTTATTCATTTCCTCCTCTAGGTGTGGTGGCTCATGCCTGTAGTCCCAATCGGTGCCTGGAAGTCTATGGCAGTAGGAGGGTTGTTAGGAGTTCCAGGCCAGCCTAGGATGCAAGATGAGATCTTGTCTCTAAAAACAAAAACCATGGAGAGAGCAGGGATACAAGGAACATACCTAAACATAATTAAGGAGATATACAGCAAGTCAACATCAAACTAAATGGAGAGAAATGAAATCAGAAACAAGACAAGGTTGTCCACTCTCTCCATACCTATTCAATATAGTTTTTGAGGTTCTTGCTAGAGCAATAAGACACCAAAGGGAGATCAAGGGGACAAATTGGAAAAGAAGAAGTCAAACTCTCACTGTTGCTGATGATATGATAGTTTATATAAGTGATCACAAAAATTCTACCAAGGAACTTCTACAACTCATAAACACTTTCAGCAATGATACAAGATTAACTCAAAAAAATCAGTAGCCCTCCTGTACACAGATGATAAAAGGGCTGAGGAAGAAATCAGAGAATTAACACCCTTCACAATAGCCACAAATAGCATAAAATATCTCAGAGTAACTAACCAAACAAGTAGAAGTCTTGTATGACAAGAACTTTAAATCTTTGAAGAAAGAAATTGAAGAAGACACCAGAAAGTGGAAAGACCTCCCATGCTCTTGGGTAGGTAGAATTAATATAGTAAAAATAACAATCTTACCGAAAGCAATCTACAGATTCAACACATTCTTCAAAGACCTCGAAAGAACGGTACCCAACTTCATTTGGAAAAGCAAAAAACCCAGGATAGCCAAAACAATCCTGGGCAATAAGAGAATTTCTGGAGGCATCACAATCCCTGACTTCAAACTCTACTACAGAGAGAGCTACAGTATTGAAAATAGCCTGATACTGGCATAAGAACAGACAGGAGGACCACTGGAACTGAATAGAATACCCAGATATCAATCCACACATCTTTGAACACCTGATATTTGATAAAGAAGCAAAAAATATCAAATGGAAAAAAGAAAGCATATTTAACAAGTTGTGCTGGCATAACTGGTTATCAACATGTAGAAAAATGAAAATAGACCCATATCTATCACCATGCACAAAGCTCAAGTCCAAATGGATCAAGACCTCAACATAAAGCCAGCCACATTGAACCTTATAGAAGAGAAAGTAGGAAGTACACTTGAACGCATTGGCACAGGGAACCATTCCTAAATATAAACCCAGCAGTACAGACACTGAGAGAAACAATAAATGGGACCTCCTGAAACTGAAAAGCTTCTGTAAAGCAAAGGACATGGTCAACAAAACAAAATGACAGCCTACAGAATGGGAAAAGATCTTCACTAACCCCACATCAGACAGAGGTCTGATCTCCAAAATATACAAAGAACTCAAAAAATTGGTCACCAAAAGAACACATAATCCAATTTGAAGAAATGGAGTATAGACCTAAACAGAGACTTTCAAAAGAGGAATCTAAAATGGCTGAAAGACACTTATGGAAATGTTCAGCATCCTTAATCATTAGAGAAATGCAAATCAAAACAAGTCTGAGATTCCATCTAACACCTGTAAGAATGGCCATGATCAAAAACACTGAAGACAACTTATGCTGTAGAGGTTGTGGGGAAAAGGGAACACATCTGTGTTGCTGGTAGGAATGCAAGCTGGTACAACCCCTTTGGATGTCAGTGTGGTGATTTCTCAGAAAATTAGGAAACAACATTCCTCAAGACCCAATAATACCACTTTTAGGTATATATCCAAAGAATGCTCAATCGTGCCATAAGGACATGTGCTCAACTATGTTCATAGCAACTTTGTTTGTCATAGCCAGAACCTAGAAACAACCTAAATGCCCTTCAATCGAAGAATGGATTAAAAAAAAAAAAAAGTGGTACATTTGCACAGTGGAGTACTACATGACAGAAAAAAATAACGACAGTTTGAATTTTGCAAGAAAATGGATGGAACTAGAAAACATTATTTTGAGTGAGGTAACCCAGACTCAGAAAGACAATTATCACATGTACTCACTCATAGGTGGTTTTTAAACATAAAGCAAAGAAAGCCTACAAACCACAATCCCAGAGAATTTAGACCACAATGAGGACACTTACATAGAGACTTACATAGATAAAATCTACATGGGAAGTAGAAAGTATAAAAAGACAAGATCTCCTGAGTAAACTGGGAGTATGGGGACTTTGGGGGAGAATTGAAGGAGGGAGGGGAGAGTCAGGGAGGGGAGCAGAGAAAAATGTAGAGCTCAATAAATATCATGGAAATAAATTTTTTACATAATCAAAAAAAAAAAAACGAATCCACAGTCATTCAAATGTATAGTCAGCTTGATCATTAACAGCCTTCATAAAGATTGTTTGCTTATTAAATATAGTTTCTGGTCTTTCATTGTGTTTGGAAATGGGTAAGCCCACGGTACAAGGAAATCAGGAGGAAGGTATGCTTCCCTGTCAAGGACTTTTAAGTGATTTTGTTCATAATGAGTAGGTGGTGTTTGTGTTGTTCATTTTGTATTTGCAACATTTCAGTTACAAAAGTAGTAGACAACTTGCCTTTGTTTTCCTACTGACTCTTTCTAGTTTTAGCCTCTTTCCTGTTAGATACTCGTATGAATTTGAAATAGGGTCTCCTTTGCACAATGAAGCCCTGACTATATACAGTATTCCTAATTTAACTAAAATCTGAAGGACAGTGATCTGAAGAAGTTGGTTGGAGTAATTCTGGACATTATTCATTTATGTTTCTTTCTAAAGGCACAGCAAACCCAAAGGTCACTTTCAAGATGTCAGAGATCCTTGTCGATGCTGAAGGAGGGGTAAGTGTGAGGCACTGAGCATTCCGTACTTTGGCTTCTGGTGTAGGAGGCTCTTTGGTGCACTTTTTGTTAACTTGTTGAGCTTGTTGAGACATTTGTGGTTCGTGATTTATTGGCTGACCTAATTTTCTTCCTTGAAAGCACTCATATTAGGCCTGCGGGGAGGGTTATGTAAGAACCACGTTAAATCTCCAGAACCCACATTTCAAAAGCTGTCTGTTAGGCCGGGTGGTGGTGGCGGCACCATTTAATCCCAATACTTGGGAGGCAGAGGTAGGTGGATCTCTGTGAGTTTGAGGCCAGCCTGGTCTATAGAGCAACTTCCAGGGTAGCTAGGGCTACACAGAGGGACCCTGTCTCAAAAAGAAAAAAAAACTGGCCTTTGTAGTATGTGCTTATAATGCCAGCACTGGGGTGGACACAGAGATCACTGGAGCTCTCCAGCCAGCCAGCTTAGCCTGCCTATTGAACTCCAGACCAGTGAGAGACTGTGTCTCAAGAAATAAATTCTGAGGAGTAACACAAGTCATCTGGCCTCTGCACGTATGCATACACCACACAAACATGTTTTTGCTCTTTGCCTTTATTAATTGTTCAATCAACGTAAAGCAGTGTTTACCTTCTGTGTTGGGTAGACATCACATTTATGGTGGATTGAATAACTCATATTTCTCTTGTACTGTTGCTTTCCATTTGGACATGCTCACAAGATTAGTTAAAATGCAGATTTGCGGGAGACTGGAGAGATGGCTTCTCAGTTAAGAAGAGCATTTTCTTGTGGAAGACCCAAATTCCATTCTTGGCACCCAGATCAGGAAACTTCCTACCATCTATAACTCCATCTTCAGAGGATCTGATATCCTCTTCTGATTTCCATAGGTACTTGCATTCAAGTACACATACATACATATAGATACACACATACACATACCTAAAAAAAATCTTTTTTTCTGGGGAGAGTGGTTTTTTGACAGGCTTTCTCTATGTAGCCCTGACTGCCATGGAACTCACTCTGTTGTCCAGGCTGGCCTCAAACTCACAGAAATCAGCCTGCCAATGCCTCCCAATTGAACTGTTGGGATTTAAGTTATAGGCCACTATGCCTGGTTTTAGACTTTTTTAAAAAACATAGTTTTACCGAGATATCATTTGCATACAGTGCAGTTCATTCAAGTTTAAAATTCAGTGACATTTTGTATAATCACAGAGTCGGGCAGCCAGAGTCCACTTTAGAGCCTTATTATTACTGCAAAGAGGAACACCCCACCCCTTAGCTATAATCCCCCAGATCTAGGCCACTATGAATGCATGAATGAAATCATCAAGGTTCATCTGCATCATGGATTAGTACTTGTGTGTGTGTGTCTGTGTGTGCCCTCACGTGTTGCTAGAGAGCTCTAACTAAGGGCCCCAGTCTTGCTACCTTTCTGTTGCTGAGCTCTATGTCCAGCTCATGTGCTCCATTCTTGTTATTTTTATGTATGTGCTGGGGTGGGAGCAGTAAATGCATATGTGTGAGAGCCAAAAATCAGTGTCAAGTGTTTTTCTTGATCAATCTCCACTTTATTTTAATTTTATCTTTATGGGTATTTTGCTTGTATATTTGTATACCACATATATGCCTGGTGGCTAGAAAAAGGCATTTAGATCCTCTGGAGCTACAATGAAGAGTACAATGAGTGCTGGAGATTGAACTGGTCCTCTGGAGGAGCAGCCAGTGCTCTTTTAACTACTGAGCCATTTTTCCAGCCTCCATTTTACTTTTTGAGATAGAGTCTCTCACTGCACCTGAAACTCACTGATTGACTAGACTGGCCAGCCAACAAGCTACAAGGTTCCTCCTGTTTCTGCCTCCCCAGTGCTGAAACAACACAGTGCTGATATGCTTGCTGTTTATGTGAGTACTGGAGATCCAAACTCAAGTCTTCTTGCTTTTTAGGCACATACTTTACCAACTGAGCCATCTCCCCAGCCTCCATTATTTCTTTTTGTTGTTGAATATTATTTCTTTCTGTGGTATACCACATTTTATTTATCTATTCATCAGTTGATGGGTATTTGGGGTTTTTTTTTTCTCTTAAAAGGTTATGATTTTGACAGCTTTCCCAGCACTCTTTAATCCCAGTACTTGGGAAGTAGAAGCACACAGATCTCTGTGAGTTCAAGGCCAACCTCGTCTACAAAGCAAATTCCGGGACAGCTAGAGCTGTTGCATAGAGAAACCCAGTCTCTACGAGGAAGGGAAGGAGAGAGGGAGGGAGGGAGGGGGAAGGAAAGGAAAGGAAGGAAAGGAAGAAGGAAGGTGTCATGAAGCCAGACAGTGACACATGCCTGTTATCCCAGCAATGTCTATATGCAAGAGACTGAGGCAGAAACATCACAAGTTTGAGGCCAGCTTGGGCTTTATAGTAGGAGTGTGTCTTTTGAGAGAGAGTGAAAAGGAAGGATTGGAGAGAGACAGCTGGAATATGCATATGCATGTGTGTAAGTGTTTGTAATAGGTTTTTTGTTTGTTTGTTTCTCTGGGGTATACCTGGGACAGTGGTTGGGTCATGTGATAATGCTCTATTAGTCTTTTGTGGAGCTGCAGGCTGCTTTAAGAATTATATTCCCACCAGCAGTGTATGAGGTTTCCAGTCTATTTACATCATCCTAACCCTTTTTTTTTAAACATTTATTTATTTATTATGTATACAATATTCTGTCTGTGTGTATATCTGCAGGCCAGAAGAGGGCACCAGACCTCATTACAGATGGTTGTGAGCCACCATGTGGTTGCTGGGAATTGAACTCAGGACCTTTGGAAGAGCAGGCAATGCTCTTAACCACTGAGCCATCTCTCCAGCCCCCTAACCCTTGTTTTTATCTGTGTTGTCACACCCATCCATTTAGAAGCCATAGTGCATTTCCCTGTGGCTATTGTTTCCTGATTATCTTTAAAGAGCTACCTATTCAGATCCCCTTTTGTGGGGAAGAGAGTTCAAGACAGGGTTTCTATGTGGAGCCCTGACTGTTCTGGAACTCTCTCTGTAGACCAAGCTGGTATTGAACTCACAGAAAGCTGTCTGCCTCTGCCTCCTGAGTGCTTAGATTAAAGGTGTGCGCCACCACTACCCTGCTATTGACTTTTTGTTTTATTTTGTTGATTTTTTTTTTTTTTGAGACAGGGTCTCTCTGTGTAACAGTCCTTGCTATTCTGGAACTTGCTTTATAGATCAGGCTGGCCTCAAACTTAAAGAGATCTCCCACCTCTGCTTCCCAAGTACTATATTAAAGGCATGTGCTATCACCGCCCTGCTCCATTTTTTTTAATTGCTTATTTTTTTTTTGAGTTGTGCTTGCTAAACTTTTAAAGGAAAAAGCTATTTGCCTATCAAGTTCATTTTTTTTCACATATTACACAGCTGTATTTTAGACTAAGATTTGGCGACTTAAGGACTGTTACTTCTCCTAGATTCTAGATCTAAAGTGAGCAAAACTTGAGCCTGTCATTTATTATCAAGGGCTTTGTTAGTATAAACCCTAAGGAAGACTTTGAGATCATGTCAGTACCTGTCCTGGAATTTTCCTGGGTCTAGAAAGCAACAGGAAACTGTTGTTTGATTGCTGGCTTTCCTGTCCCTTTGTACCCTTTTAAGTACCCATGTCTGGAAAGATGGTGCTATAAGTAGACTAGTGAGCGTGTTATTTTCTTTGTCTTCTATAACTGTTTCCTTTTCTTCTTACTAGATTATAGATGTCATAGATAAAGAACTGGTTCAGCCTTTTGAGATTCTGTTTGAAGGAGTTGAATATATTGCCAGAGCTGGATGGACTCCAGAGGGAAAATAGTGCGTATGTTCAATTGTCACTTTCTTATAACGAATTTAGGATTAGAATGTCTGTGATGTGGGCTTTGCCTTCCCAAGTAAATTGGCACTCCATTATTCCCGCTCAGGCCTTTTCCTTGAACTCCGTGAACATACAGATCTGCAGTCCCATAAGCATAAGTGTATTGTATTGTGATTATAGGAATAATTGTTGAATGTAGTGTCTCATGCCTTTAAATGCTAGCTTTCAGCAAGCAGAGGCAGACAGATCTCTGTGAGTTTAAGGCCAACCTGATCTCCGTGCTGAGTTCCAGGCCAGCCAAGGGACACATAGTGAAACCCTGTCTTTAAAAAGAAAAATAAGCCGGGTGGTGGTGGCACAACACCTTCAATCCCAGCACTTGGGAGGCAGAAGCAGGTGGTTCTCTGAGTTCAAGGCCAGCCTGGTCCCCAGAGCGAGTTCCTGGACAGCCAAGGCTACACAGTGAACCCTGTCTAGAAAAACTAAAATAAATATATAAAATAAAATTGATAGGTACCAAGAGAGAGAACAGGTGGTTGGTTATTCATTTTCTGAAAGCTTGCTTCATTCCTTACTTCTTCTCATTCCTTTGAACAGTGCCTGGTCCATCCTACTAGATCGTTCCCAGACTCACCTACAGATAGTTCTGATCTCTCCTGAGTTATTCATCCCAGTAGAAGATGATGCCATGGACAGACAGAGACTCATAGAGTCAGTTCCTGACTCTGTGACACCACTGATCATCTATGAAGAAACAACAGATATCTGGATAAATGTATGCAATTTTCTTTCTTGAACTTGGCTGTATATTTTCTCAGGATACTCAGGCAGATGTCATTCTAGAGCAAGCTAACAAAATACATCCTTAAATTCAAAGGAACCGTGGATATTTCACGTTGGAATGATGGTTCCAGAATGGAGTAGATAGCACTGAAGTGACAGCTCATTAGTAACTGCAGATGTGGTTCCGCATACCTCAGTAGAGAGCCCACAGCCTCCGCTCCAGCCTCTACTTCTGATAGGACTTTCAAGAGTTGTGTCTAGAAACTGCCTTTTAACTTAGCAAACTATACCAAGTATGCTAGTTTTTAATTGAGTTTTGCATTTTCCAATTTAGCATAAAAATTAGATATAAAATAAAAACATTTCTCTGTCTCTCTGTAGTTGAAAGTAGGCTTCCTGTAATTCACCCAAAACAGATGAACATCTGTTTTCCTTCAACTGTTAGAATACTTCTCTTTGGAAAACAAAAGTAAAGCATGTTTTTCCTCCTCCTTTGTGTGTAAGATTTATACTGTTGCATAAGCATGTGTGCTTCAGTTCCAGGCTGGAGAGCAGCAGTCTTGGTCATATTGTTTTTTACTTTCTTCCATTTGGAAACGTTTACTTTTCAGTGTGTGAAATCTTTGCCTAAAGTAAAATAAATGTAAGAGGCCCAGGCAAAGCCTACTATTGTTAATGTTCCATATCCCAAATACTAACCACTGTCTATATTTCAAATAATTCTTCCTTCTCATTTGGTTACCTATGTGGTATGTTTACCAATACATATAATAAACTAAGCTGTTCATTTTGCAGATCCACGATATCTTTCATGTTTTTCCTCAAACTCATGAAGATGAGATAGAGTTTATTTTTGCCTCTGAATGCAAAACAGGTTTCCGTCACTTGTATAAAATCACATCCATTTTAAAGGAGAGCAAATATAAACGATCCAGCGGTGGACTGCCTGCCCCAAGTAAGAAGTCTTATTTAATTATGTATTTAATGGTTTATTTTTTATTTGCTTTACATAATTTATCTCAAAGCACACATGTACAGATAGAGGGTAGTTTGTGAGATTCTCTTCTATCCTTCCACTGTGTGAGTTCCAAGGATCAAACTCAGGACATCAGACCTGATATCAGGGACCTTTACCCACTCTGCCTTTTTTTTTTCTTTTGTTTCTTCTTCTTTTTTTTTTTTAATGGCGGCATGGTCTCACTATGTAGTTCTGACTGACATAGAGAAGAACTCATGCAAACCAAGCTATCCTCAGATTCACAGAGATCTGCCTGCTTTGCTAGAATTGAAAGCTTGTGCCACCACACTAGGTTTTGAAAACTTTACAAAATAAAGTTTGTATAGAGATAGCTCAGTGGTTAAGAATACTGTTCCTCTTGCAGAGAACCCAGCTTCTGTTCCCAGTACCTACATGGCAGTCACAACCACTCCTAACTCCAATTCCAGGGGATCCAATGCTTCCTTCTGTCTTCCAGGGACATCAGACATACAATAAAAATAAATAGATAAATCTTAGGAGAAAAAAACACTGTATAAACAAATATGACATATACTACAGTGGAATATAGTCTTAAAAGATTTATTTATGTATATGAGTACTCTATTTTATGCCAGAAGAAGACATCAGATCCCACTATTGATGGTTGTGAGCCACTATGTGGTTGCTAGGAATTGGACTCGGGCCCTCTGGAAGAGTAGCCAGTTCTCTTAATTACTGAACCATCGCTCCAGCCCTTCTTGATGGAAACCTGGGTTGCTTCCATTCTTTTGGTGGAATGACACTACTCTATGTATGTTCCTCTGTTGGCTTTTCCATTCTTTCCATTCCAGAAATGCAATGCTTGAGTCATATATTCTATTTAATTTTTCATGTTTAGCAAACCATTGATAAGGGCTACACTTTTTTTATATTCCTAATTGCAAAATGCAAGGGTTTTCATTTCTCTCTGTTTTTGTTTGTTTGTATTTGGGGGATAGGTTTATTTATTTTATTTCTATATGTATGAACTTTTGCCTGCATGTATGCCTGTGTATCACATGCATGCCTGGTGCCTGTAGAGGTCAGAAGAGGGGATTAGAACTAGAGTTATAGATGCTTGGGAGCCACCATATAGGTTCTGGGAACCAAACCCAGGTCCTCTGCAAGAACAAGTGTTCTTAACTGCTGAGCTGTCTTTCTAGCCCCTGGATTATTTTTTTGTTTTTGATTTTTAAAGACAGAGTTTCTGTAGTTCAGGCTTCCTTCCAATTCTCCACAATCCTGTATCAGTTCCCATGTGCTGAGATTACAGGTGTGTACCACTACACCCAGCTCAAGTTTTAGTTCTTTATATCCTTGACAGTACTTGTTATTTCCTGTTTTCTTGCTTTTGTAAGTTTATGTTTTATTGTCCCTATTTATTTATTATTTGTCTTGGTTTTCTGAAGACAGGGTCTTCATATGTAGCTTTGGCTGTCCTAGAACTCACTATGTAGACCAGGCTTGCCTTTCACTCACTGAGATCTGCTTGTCTCTGCCTTCCAAGTGCTGTAATTAAAGGTGTATGTCACTACACCCACTACATCCAGCTGTGGGTTTTTTTTAAATAGCCACCCTAATAGATATAAAGTTGCATATTCTATTTGTGTTCTTTTTTTTCTCAAACTCATATATACCATATTAGCGATTGAACCTAAGACTTTGTCACTGAGTTACATCCCTAGCTCTTGTGAGTTTTTATTTTGAAATGTGAATAGATAACTGAGTAGCTGACATCACACACGTGCCACCAAGCACCGCTTGAAGAGGCATCCCATTGTGTTTTGACACAGATTTTTCTAATGATGAGGAGTATTACTACTTTCCATATACATATTGGCTATTTATATATCTTATTGAAAGAAATACCTATTCAAGTCCTTTGGATTCTTCAGTTTTTCTGAAAGGCTTTTTAATTACTGGGATTTAGAGAGCAGTGAACTACATCTTAAAATCAACCAAGTAAACACTAATTATGACTATGAACTTTTCTTTAAAGATAGAGGTCTTATAAAACAGAATTTCTTTCCATGAGCTTCAGCTTAATTTAGCCCTGAACTTAAAACTGTTTTACTAGTTCCTTTGCTGCTCAGGAGTAAGTTCACTCATAGAGGAAGAAAGAACAAAGAAAAAAAATAATACTTTGAAACAATAAGGTATCTTTTGTTTGTTTGTTTGCTTTTCGAGACAGGGTTTCTCTGTAGCTTTTGAGCCTGTCCTGCTCCACGAGTGCTGGGATTATAGGTGTATAATCACCACCGCCTGGCCACAATAAGGTCTCTTAAATCTGTTATTACTCCATTAACATCAGCCTCAGAAGGAGGGCTCTGTCCTGTCAGCACCTGTTTGCTGATGCTGCTTGGCCCAATTTTTTTCTTTTTCTTTCTTTCTTTCTTTCTTTCTTTCTTTCTTTCTTTCTTTCTTTCTTTCTTCCTTCCTTCCTTCCTTCCTTCCTTCCTTCCTTCCTTCCTTCCTTTCTTTCTTTCTTTCTTTCTTTCCTTCTTTCTAATTGCTCCATCTCGGATTTTTTTTTGTTTTTTTTTTTTCACTTTGTAATTATGTTTGTTTTTTTCTTTCTCCTTATCCTCCCCTTCATAGCTCTAAGGTGAAACTCTTTTTGTTTGTTTGTTTGTTTGGTTTATTTTGTTTGCTTCCTTTTTCAAGATAAGGTTTCTCGGGGCTGGAGAGATGGCTCAGTGGTTAAGAGCATTGTCTGTTCTTCCAAAGGTCCTGAGTTCAATTCCCGGCAACCACATGGTGGCTCACAACCATCTGCAATGAGGTCTGGTGCCCTCTTCTGGCCTGCACGCATACACACAGACAGAATATTGTATACATAATAAATAAATAAATATTTAAAAAAAAAAAGATAAGGTTTCTCTGGTTAGCCCTAACTGTTCTTGAACAGAGTGCTGGGATTAAAGGCGTGCACCACCAAGCCTAGATGGATATTTTATCTGTAATTTTTAGTAACCATTTGAAATAACTCAATACCATTTAATACAATATTATCAATTATTGTCTTTAACTAGTTCCAAAACATTTACATTACCTCAAACCTAACATTGATGTTTTTACTTTTGTTTTATTGCAGCTTTTTGGAAAAGTCAGTTTGCAAAACTTTTCTACATTGTTTCATTTGCTTATGGTTTGGATAAAGTACTGAATTTTGGTTGTATTTATCTACAGGTGATTTCAAGTGTCCTATCAAAGAAGAAATAGCAATTACCAGTGGTGAATGGGAAGTTCTTGGCCGGCACGGATCTAATGTATGTTTCTTTATTCTACTGATATGTTTGGTTAGCCTCTGCCTTGTGCATACACTACAGAAAAAAATGAATAATACAGTGTATGTATGTATGACTCCAGTATTTTACAATATTAAGTTAGGGCATAAAAGGATACAAGTTGTTACAAAGGAAAAATCTTAGTTCAATCAGAATGTAGTGATACACACCTTAACTTCCAGCATTTGGGAGGCAGAGGCAGGTTGAGGCCAGCCTGGTCTACCTAGCAAGTTTCAGGCCACTCAGGGCTATATCGTAAGACCCTGTCTTTTAAGAAAATTAAAATAAATTTTTAAAAATCTTATTTTAAATCATAAAGTTCACCTATTTTATGACTTTAAAATAAGATGCATTCCAGTTACAAAAGACTGCCATTTTCTAGGCCGGGCGGTGGTGGCGCACACCTTTAATCCCAGCACTTCGGAGACAGAAGTAGGCTGATCTCTGTGAGTTCGAGGCCAGCCTGGTCTACAAGACTAGGACACCTGCCATTTTCAATTATCATATTATTTTTGTGTATTGTGTGTTTTGCCTGCATGTATGTCTGTGCACTATATGCATGCCTGGTGCCTGTGGAAGCCAGAAAACGGTGTCAGATTGCCTACTACTGGCATTGTGGACAGTTGTGAGCCCCGTATGACTGCTGAGAACTGAAACCAAGTCTTATGGGAGAACAGCCAGTACCCTTAGCCATTGAGCCATTGCTCCAGCCCAAGATCACCATTTTTAAATAATCTTATTGCTCTTTAGTAAGGAAGCAGTTTGTTTGCTTAGGACTTTCAAAAGTTGTGAGTTAGCGTATAACCTGAAATTTATGTTTTAGGCATGATGGACTGTTGATGTTTTTACATTGGAAATTATATTTAGCATTCTTTTTTAAAGACTTATTTATTAATTATGTATACAGGGTTCTTCCTGCATGTATGCCTTCTCTCATTACAGATGGTTGTGAGCCACCATGTGATTGCTGGGAATTGAACTCAGGACCTCTGAAAGAGCAGTCAGTGCTCTTAACCGCTGAGCCATCTCTCCAGCCCATTAGGCTTCTTGAAGTAGAAATTTTCTTTCATTTACCTGTTTTTATCTTGTCTCACAGATTTAAGCTTTTTGAGCCTAGGTTAACAGGGAAGAACGTGCGGCTCTGAGCCTGTGGCTTTCCGTCAGTACTATGGACTGGACTCCACCTGAAATGCTGGGCGAGTGCTCTAGTGTTAAGCCATAGCATAGCTACTTTTCTATTTTATTTTGTGACTGGCTCTTTCTTGCTAAGTTGCCCAGGTTGGCCTTCAGCTTCACTCTGTAGCAGGCAGGCCTTGAACAGAAGACCTTCACTAGCCTTTCACTAGTGCCTTTCCTTTGTTTGCATTTGGTTTTATCTGCTCTCTAGACATCCCTCTCCCCCTTTCTGGCTCAACAATTCAGTGGCTATAGGCACTAGGATTTACTGTTGGCCTGAGTGTGATTTTATCAAATTTATGAATTTATTACATGTTCTGACATCTTTAGAAATCGTCATGGTCTCTGTGGTGGTTTAAGAAATGAAATAGAGGGGGCTGGAGAGATGGCTCAGTGGTTAAGAGCATTGCCTGCTCTTCCAAAGGTCCTGAGTTCAATTCCCAGCAACCACATGGTGGCTCACAACCATCTGTAATAAGGTCTGGTGCCCTCTTCTGGCCTTCGGCATACACACAGATTATATACATAATAAATAATAAATAAATATTAAAAAAAA